CTTCCATCTCACAGGCAGTATGATCTAGTGTTATAATAACAGTATACTAACACTACTATACTATTGCAGACTTAACTGTAAGACTTCTCCAAAACCTTTAATGGCATTCAATCAGAAGTATGAAAAACAAAGCGTTCTAAGTAGATCCTGGTAGTAAGGTGGAGTCACTTTCATAGAAAATAACTTTCAAAAACAAATCCATCCAGGAAGGTTTTTTGGCTTACCCAACAGGAACTGATATGCTTAGTCTGGTCAAACTCGGTAAAAACTAATAGCAGCATTTATTAAACATTTAATAAGCTTAATTACTTCATTAGAGGACTTAATTGATACTAGAATTTCTTCCAGGACAAGAGTGGAAGAGTTTAATTTGGCAAGGTCACTTTGACAACATGCATACAAAATATTTTAATTTAGAAGTTAAATATTGTATTATTAACAAATTGAAAATGCTTTGGGTGGTTTGTTTTGTTTTACGGCATATCAACCTCAATGGGTTATTTAATGCCGACAAAATTTTTTATTGCTGGGAATATTTTGTTTTGTCAAAACTGTTTCTGGTAATATTTTTCCTTCAAAAATGTATTGCTAGTAATAATTTTTTTTTTTTAAAAGTATTGCTGGTAATAGTTAACTATTTTCCCATAGCTGGGACCCTAACAGGTGCTACCACCCTGGGTCGGAGTGGACCTGGGAACACCAGCAATTAAGAGGTGGTTCTATGCTCCCCAAAACCTCCTGATCAGAGGCCTTGTTGCTGGATGTAGTTTATCGTCTTACCCCGGACGCAGATGTAGTTTATTGTCATACCCAGGACAGAAATTGAAGATGAAAACTTGTCCATCTGACAGTTTTGATAAGTGATGAAAGAAAGTCTGAAAAACATGTTTGTTGGTCATCAATATGGGGTGAGTGATTAGTCACATCATCTCCAGAACATTAGGAATTCTGTTTGGATGATGAAGAAAATAACCATAGAAATAACCACAAAATTGCCCACCATTTTTGTCTGTTGATCAACTACTGGTTATCTGAAAGCATGTTAATCTGAGTTACTTTTCTCCTTCATCTAATCAGAAAAGATTAAACATTTAGAAACCTACAAAGAAAAAAAATAGCTCAAGAACTGTATTAAGGGAATTTAAGCATTTGTTTGCAGGGCAATGTGTGTGTGTGTGTGTGTGTGTGTGGCAATCATTACCTTAACTGCTTTATCTATTCATTCTCTTTTACCCCTCTTCAAAGATCAAAGAGGAGGAAGTGTAGATGAAAGATTTGTTATAGCTGTGAGCTCATACAATAGAGAAAAAGGGGGAAAAAAGCAAAAATAACTAATTAAAAATAAAAGTTTCCACTTTACACTGTCTTAATGATTATTGGCATAGTAGGCTTCATAAATTTGTTTCTTGCTAGGTGCTCTACTAGTGTGGCCCTGTGCCAAATAAATAAGATTAATGGCACTCAAAGATAGGGCAAAAGACAATGAAACCAGTATTATTTAAAATTTTGAAGGAATTCTTACTGGTAATCAAAATGGTAGTATTCTAACTCAGAGATTTTGAACAGAGGGTCCCTGCCTCATGCAAGTAGTGCTAGCATCTTGGATCACCTGCTGTAGAGTTAATATTACATTGCAGCCTAGGTTAAACTTTGGGAAATATCTCTTATTATCTCTGAAAGGCAAATATATTGGTTCTTTAACTCAAAAGCACTTGATTCAATTTAAAATCTCTAAGTGACAATCTGGAACTAGGGCAGGTTTCCCTCCCCCCATACCTCTATACTATATCCCATTATAACTTATTAATGCAATATATTTATCTCAAATTTAATAAAAATGTGTATACACATGCTGTACTTTAATAAAAAGAAACAGATACAAAACTAGGCTTAAGTAACCACAATTAAAAGGCCATGGACAATAAATTCTTAAAAATTAACTGTGTTGCCTCTTTAAGATTAATCAAAATAAACATCAGCTTTTGGTCTCTTTAATTACATTATTTTTTTTTATTCGTTAATTGCTGTATTAAATAGAGTGAATAAAATGTTAATGAAGATCATGGAGACTTTTTTAAATACAGTGACTAAGTAACAGAGAAACCTAATTTATAACTTGAAATTTAAAGCTGAATGATATTCTGAATTATTTCTTTCCAGCTTATAAATAATAGGAGTCAATTTTTACTTTGGGTTTGGGAAATTTGTAACTTTTTATTTTTTTTTCTTATTGTATTTGTTTTATTTTTCTTCAAATTTTTTTCAATAAACAGTTTTCTTTGTACATATTTTTTTTTATCTGTTGTAAAGTTCATTAGTAGAGAATGAAACTATGCTACAAGGTTACATATTCACTTTTTTAATGAATACCTAATAGAGAAGGACTAATCTGAACAGTTACTTCTTTGACTTTAATGTCAGGTCAATGACTTATCTTCACAAATTCACATATAAAAACAAACTAGCTTTAAAACAGAAAATCAGAACAATGACTCTTCTCTTCTTTTACAAGTAAAGTTAAAAGTAAATTCTGCATGTATCCAAAGGTAAAAAAAAAAAAAAAAAAAAAAATTATATTTCTATTAATTTTGAGTTTTATCTGACCTTTGAGAGTTACCACAAAATTGAATAGTTTGATTATTTCCATATTTTGACAATCTACAAGACGATCCTGTCACTCCAAGTACTAGTCTTTAATAGCAAATATACTGACCATTAAATACAACATTCAAATACTAACTTTTACTAAGACTCAAATCCAGATTCTAAAGGTTGGGAAAAATAGTTACTATTCGCATGACCCTACCAAAGAATAGAGTCAGTCAAGCATTCAGAAAATTCCATAGCTGTTTATATATGTAAAGCTGTTCAAATTTAACTCAAGACCAACATTGATTCTTTGATATAAAAAAAAAAAAAAAAAATACATATTTTTAACAGATGCCTAATATAGCAGGGATACCAAGTATCCCAGTAATGAAACCTTGTACCTCACTAAGTAAATGACCATATACCTTTTTGTATGGCATAATATAACTTGCCCATCAAAAAATGTCTTCAAAATATCTCTAGGAGTTTATTTGTGAAGTTGAGGTATCTGGTAGATTAATGTTTACTCAGATCCCATAGATTACTAATATTTGAACTTTGCCAAACTTTATAATGAAATGCAAATCGGAGGGTAAAGGAGAATTTATACACCATCACATATAGTATTTTTTCTTTTTATATAAAAAGGAATTTATTTCAAAAGTCATGCATTATATAATAAAATAAAACTTGCTCGTATGTAAATATTATCTACCATCATGTGTGTGACCTTTCCCAGTTTTCTATGAACCATTAGATCTTAAAATATCTAAGATCACATTTTAAGAAAAGGAATTAGAGCTTTTATACTTTGTTTAACTTTGTCCATTCTAATCTGCAAATAAGGACCTAATGAAGATAGATTTTAGGTTTCACTACTCTGATTATCTAAAAATGTACAAATTATTCTGTTAAAATAAAGGCCACAAGACATTCCTTAAATATAAGAGTTAATTATCTCTGTAGAATCAATTGCATTTCTCTCTCCTCAAGCAACAATTCACACTCATTTCCCTCATTCTGTATACAAACATTTTGTATATGTGCATACAAACACGTTCTCAGCAATGTACCTATTCTCTCTAACAAGTGCTTTCTTTCACATATCTTTTGCTCTCCTTCACTATGACACAGCTCTAGTTACCACCACTTTTATATATCTTACTGATGTTCACTCTTTCCAACATTCAGCTTACACACAATAATCTTTCTATCTCTGGAAATATATTTCCCTCTCTGAAGTGTAATCCTTTTCATTTCTCTTTCTCTCCTCTAACACAACCCAATTTCTCTCCCTACACTTATCATTCTATTTTTCTCCAGTTAATACCTCTCTCTCTCTCAACTCTCACCCATCTCTCTCTAACAAGTCTTTCTTTTTTGCCTTTTATTGTCAATCACTTTCTATCCACCCCTACCAAGGACCCAACCTTTTATTGTCTTTAGCTTTCAACCACCTCTCTATCCTACCATTTACCCTATATTTCTCTCTTTTCAAGCACATCCCTTCTCTTTTTACATTCACACCCATTCTAGCTCCCTTCCTCAATATCTTCAACCAAGGATGCACCCACCCCTAATGCACATGTGCGACAACACAGAAATTCCACCCATTTCAACTCACTCTGCATGACTGTGTCCCTTCATTCTTCTTCCCTTACTGCACATGACAACACAAATTCCATTGCCATAACCTCATACTGAACACTCCTGTGCATGCATGTAGCACAGCTTTCTTCTCTCTTACCAGTACATGTGAAAGTTATTCACTTCTCCTTTTGCTACATGAATACCACATGTCCTCCTGGACTTTTACATTCACCTTACAACAAATATACCCATAAGCAATTCCATGTTTTGTTTTATTAATCCTTTTCTTGCATAAGTTTTAGTAATTCGCTTAAGTTTGTCTTGCTCTACAAATTTTATTTACTTATTAGAAATTTGCTCAAAACTGTTTCCTATTGTTGGAATGACACTGTTTACTTGATATTTACTTAGTACATCATAAAACCAAACTGGAGAAAATAGGTGGGGATAAGAGGATTGTGTTGTGCCAATTTTGAGAACCAATATTCAACACTTTGCATTTTTCTCTCCCTTGGTTTTAGCACCTCAAACTTGTTCTTGTAAATTTGTAAAAGCAGGTTCATTCAATAGCAAGTTAAAAAAAAAAAAAAAAAAAAAAAAATAGCAGTTACCAAATTATTCCAATTTTTTTTTAGCACTTTTTCCCTTATTTTTAGAGACACCATTTTAAACTTTGCTTCTGGCCATGAATTATTCACTCACACAACTCCAGGTAGGTCTTGTGACTTGTTAGTCTAGAAGCACATCCACATACTGAGGTCTTCTATTAGCATAAGTAGAGAGATGGTATCCATCATTGGCTTGCTAGTCTTGTCGCATAGCTTACAGCACCTAGTATTATCCAGCGGTTACCCATCCAAGTAGTGACCAGCTCAATGTTGCTTAACTTTGGTGATCAAACAAGAATTGGTGTTTCAACATGATATGACCATAAGTTCTGGCCATGAAATCATCCACCAATCCCCTGGTCAGTCATGGTGCCCAACAAATGAAATAACACCTGTGTGACATTTACTAATGATTTTACACATAATAAACCTACAGTTAAGACAATAGACAACCAATCTTTGTGGTAGGAATTTGCTATTTCCTTTTCTCTTTGTTCTAACATTCATTTTTCTTTGCCATCCATTTTGCCACTTCATCCACCACAAAAGCAAACATATATTCATATACAAACATTTTTTATACTTTAAAACATTAATGCAGACACAAAACATAAATTTGAACCAATGCATACCCACCATACCACCATGGAAGGCACCAAAGTTTCTTCTCAAAAATTGTAGATGCAAACATATGCAGTGCAAATAAATAGTATCTACTAGCCCATTTTTATAATTTTGGCAGAAACCTTTACCCAAGAGGGTAATACAAATTTTCTTTCTTCCTTCCACAATCAGGAAAAGGATTGAAAAGAGGATGGGTAATTGATATACATATGCTTTGAAATGTCCAGGGGCAGCATTTTAGAAAATCTATCCTAGAACTCATTACACACTTTTTAGCATCTACAGATAATATTAATTAGTAATAATTAATATGTTAAATGCATAGAATCCCATGCACATGAAAACTTTCAGAAATTTCTACCTGATTTCATACAGAGATTCAAAGTTCAGAAAAATTATTTCAGTTACATGATGATTTTTTTTTTTTATTCAAATTCAAAACATGCTCATTTTCTTATTTGTATTTCATTTTACAAATGGAAAATATTTACACTGTTGAAAGTTTACACACACTCATATCTAGAATATGAAACGGGTTAACAACAACAAAAGCTGCATGTGCCATTTCTATTATACACAAATGATACACGTTATGACTATCCACACTGCTCATAAGAACATAAATATTTCCTCTCTCTCTCTATCTCTCTCTATCTCGTTGGGGACCCACAAACAGGCTGCAGCTGCTCATAACAACGATACATCAACTGAAAAAGAAATTATTTAAAAAAACGAAAATAAATAAAAGCTGAAAGGTCTGGACAGGTCCATATTGACAAAGGTAAATGGTGACTACTATAACCACCGCTAGAGATTTGCCCTATCTACCCACTCAGTTTTTCACCCTCTGCCTTTCAGTTCCAACACCACCCTCACTGTCCAAACAGTCCTAGGTGACAGAAGCAGGCAGATACGAAGGGAGGTAGGTAACAGACATCTGTGGGGGCTACGTGCAAGCAAGTGCCTGTCTTGATACACTACAGCTTTATTGTGTGGGTGTGTTTTCTACAAGGTTGTCATTTACAACGTGAAACTCTTTGGTTTCTCCCCCTCCCTATCTTAAGAGTTTTTTTGGGTTTTTTTTAACTCTTCTTTTCTCTCTCCTTGATAACAGACCAAATCTACCTCTCTTTTCCTTATTTAAACTCCACCTCTCCCCATTTCATTTTACCTCATCATTATTATACATCTTCTAAAAGCCTCTCCTCATCCCACTTGTATTCAGACAACTATTTCTACTCCCCTGTTCACATAGACCAAATCTCCCACTATTTATCTTTCCCCATTCTTATTTCAATGCTAATATCTCCTCCTGCTCTTTTTACTCCCTTTAGATCAATCCCTCCATCTTATTTCTTCTCTATTTTACTAATAAGACTCATCCCCCTCCTTTTATTTCCACCTACTCTCACTTTTCTCTGTTGCCAAGACAACTCCCTCTCACAATTATTTTAGCTCCTCCTTCCCCTATTCACACACTAGACAAATTCTTCATCTTTCTTTATTTTCTGTTGGTTTAAAACCTCTTTCCAATCATATCGGCTTCCTTTCTTTCACCTAGAGGCAAACTCCTCCTCGCTATCTCACCTCTTACTATCTGATTTACTCTGACCCCTTTCTTTTGAAAGCACTATCCCTTCTTATTTTATTCCTTCGTTTTTTTAACTGGGCTATCCAATTTCCTCCTCTTTATTTACCACAACTGTTACCACTGTTACCCTTCCCCACCCTCCCACTATTACAGACACATTTTACTCTCTTCCTTTACCAAAACTATCTCCATGTATAACCATCACTCCTCCTTTCCGTTACTGCTGCTATTACCACACCTTTTTACCATTACGTGTAACACTCCGCCTTAATTTGCCATAACTATTACCAACCCTCCCCTTTTTAATATAACCATTGCTATCTCCCCTCCCACTGTTGTAATGTCTTAATAATACCACCCAACCTTTTACCATAACTATTACCACTCCTCCCTCATTTCCATAACATATTCCTCCCACTCCTAGTTTAATAACTTAGTTTGAGTTCCACATCTGCCATTACCTCTCTGTACATTTTTTTCTTTATATTGTTCTGTTAACCTCCTTCTTCCCCTGTCACTTCTCCCTATATTCAAGTTCAGCACGCTCATACAAGCTCAGTGGTTAGGACGCAAGTTTTGAGGAGCACAAAGTTTTCTAATATAACCCTGTTGGTGAGCCTTGTTAGCATAACACACCCAGAAAAATTAAACTTGATTTGAAATGTGGGTAGGAGTAATACCTTAATGAAGTACATGTATTAAAAAAATAGATTTTTTTAATAAATTTTTAATCTTATTTTAACCTAATCAATCTCATAGTCACACAAACAATTAAGCAAAGTTTTATTTGAAAATGAAAAACCACATTCAGTATTTGTAAGATCCCCATATTATAAATTTTTACTCTCTTCTGAGGTTCCCACCTAGTACTCCACTAAATCCAAGTATTAAAACACGCAATCTGTTAATAATTGAAAACCTGTTACTTGTACATGCTTTTAAACACTTTTTAATACCAAAATCTCTGTAATGTAATTAGTCGAGCAGTGTGTATAACGAACGGATGTTGTTTTTAAAACTTAAATAATACTGAATTAAAACCTTTCTTGCTTCTTTAATTACTTTACAAAAATTTACATATATAAATTGTTACTCAATTATAGTGTCATACATATACCCATTACTCACACAATACATATTCGTGCATGCAGTTATCTTCCCTTAATTTTTATTTTTTTTATCTTGAAGCTATCTATGCAGTTCTCTCCCTTGCTCTTAGTCACCCGCATTCACACAAATCGGCACCATCCCTTCCACATACAAAATTAGCGCGCACACGCACACACTTTCAATATACATCAGCATCTCATATCTCTCCCCAGTTTCCCTCCATGCAATCAATCAGTAGATCTAAACATCATCATCGTTTATTTGTTTAACTCACATTGTACATGTTCATCATCATGCACATTGGTAGTGTGACTGTGTGTGCATCATTTTGCATTTCCTCACAGAGCCACCCTAATTTTCCACCACTTCTCCCACGTGCTTTCTCCATACAAGCTAAAGACAGATGGTCGCACGCACGCACACACTTACACGATAATGATAATAGTTCCACGCTCGCTCGCTCTTGGAAGTTACTATGGAAACCAAAGTGCGATGCAAATATGCATAAATAACAGGGAATCTTCTTTCTCTTCCACTACCTATGAGCTTAAATTTCAAATGTTTTTATTTAATTTACTGTTGTTTTGAGTTTTTTGTTTTTGTTTTGTTTTTTGTTTTGTTTTTTGTTTTTTGCATGTAGACATCTATATGAGATTTGGCTTGAGAAGAGTTGACAGTTAAAGTTATCAACTTGTGTTGTTTTTTGTTTTTTTTTGTTTAACCAAAAGAAAAGTAGTTTGCAGTTTATGAGACAAACCTGGACCACGTGAAAAGTTCTTATTTTTTAAATTGTCATTTTTTTTTCACCTGATGAAACTAAGGTTTAACAATATGTAAAATCTCATAGTAGATTTGAAGTTGATCATTTTATTTTATTTTTACTTAATATTTTTAGCTCACCTTAGAAAAAGTTAAAAAATATATATATAGTTTTTTGGGGATTTTTTTATGGCTTTCTAAGCTAAAAAGTATATGGAATTTGTGAAAACCACTTGGATATTTAATTACGAAAAAGTTAAGGAAAACATTATTTGTAAGAAGGAAATAAAAAAAAAAGTGATACCAGGCTATGTGAACATTTCATTTGTTCTAGATGAGGGTGGGGAATATAAGCAAGTTTACATACTTCTACTGACATGATGTTTCCCCTACCCCACGATGTCGCTCCCTCCCTTGTCAATACTCTTAATTCAGTGATAAATATGAGTTTTACAATCAAACGGACAGTGAAAATTTCAGATCAAAATTAGGCTTACGCGATCCAACCTTATAAAAATCAAATACTTTTAAATTAAAGTCATATATCTTAGTGCTTTCAAAGCCTTGTAATTCAAATTAAAATAATTGCATGTTGTAACTGTAGATTCCAGAGGCGTGTCAGAAAATTTGCGGACGTAGTAGAAAAAACATATCGCAAGGTATAAAAAGAGAATTTTCAACCAATCGCTGTTTGAGTAAAAATGTAAATTCAAATGAAAGTTTAAGCATATATACCCGAAAAACAAGATTTTACAACCAGACGCAGTCAACTCAAATAGCTAATCTACACTAAATAACAGACATTTACTAAACTGTATGAACTTTTTCTCTATATTGGACATGTCAATTGCCACGAACATTTCATACTAAAAAGAAGATACACATACTTTTTAATCGGTGTCACCCCATGCAAGGCAGTAAAGCCACTAAAACACAAAGGGTTACACTACAGGGTGTGGAAGAATTAAGAAGAGAAATATTGAATGGAAATAGAAAAGAAAAGAGTAATCAGTAGGACAGTAGATAGGGATTGACAATGCATTTGAATGTTTGCAGATTAAAGTTGGCTGGAAGTTTTATGTTTCTAAGTTTACAGTTTTTCTCGCCTGTGGAACTCCCTTCTGGCTCCATGCCTTCAATCTAGCCAGTTCAACTGTCAATTGCTGAGATCTCGATGCCAGTCTAGTACTGCGTTTAAATTCATGAAGTCTGGCACCATAGCGAACAATGACCATAAAGTA